GCCAGCCAGGATGCACAGAGAGAAATATTATTACGTTTCTCACCACAACCCTCATGCCCGCATTTCTCCAAAATACCTGATCGCTGTGACAGCAACACTTTGCTCCCACCCCTCCCTTACGTTTATCCACTAGACACGATGGAATGAGTTCTATAATCTCACCCCCTCACTCAGTCTCTGATTAATTATGGACACAAATAGAGTAATCTTCCTTATGGATGTCAGACGATAATACAAAGGTGAATGTGTGAATGTCATTTCATTAAAACAGGTGTCTGTGATTAGAACATCCACACATAACAACAGTAGGGCCTACACCTTATCCATCAGATAGAAATCCAACAGCGCAAACTACTGAGAAAAAGAAAAAAAAAGGTCATTGAGTAACGGATGTCATAAGAGAAAGTAAGATTTATATAGTACATGGCCATAAAACAGATTATGTTTCATAAGCTGAAAAACTATTATCTAAACTTTCATGATCTAATAATCAGTCTAATGTATGGTATCAGTTGATGGTGAACATCTGAATGTGGATCTGTCGTCTGTATTCTGAGGCAAGGCCGTTCATACTGTATGTTATTATCTACACTGATCTGTAAAGAAGCACAAGGAGGACACAAGGATGCACTCTTTGAACAAATGTCCCTCATGAACCAACTTCATCTCTAGATTGCTAAGAGTTAAAAATCAGACCAATTCATGGTAATGGAAACCCTGTAATGGACAAAGACAGTGTGCTTGCCACCAATACAAATTAAAGAACAAACAAATGGAGTCAGCAAACTACATTTGGTTCCATTGGTTTGCTCTTGATATTACAAACTTGCCTTTGCCTCTTTCTAGCCAGTGGCACATAGGCAACCACTGTTGATTGATACAGTCTATATTTCAGTTGTTCAGCCTCTTCTTATGCAGGAGCCATAACCCAAAGTCATTACCGACAGCCACCATTGTCATGGAAAATAACCTGGCATATGCATTACATTGTGGATGACTTTGAGAGGGATAAACCACTGAGTGGTTCAGTGTTAGTGTCTCCAGTGAGAATACACCACAATGTAAATAGCTGATGCTACTAGACCATGCACGGCAACCGGAGAAGGCTCACTGCTGCCGAGCGTGCTGCTGTGGTGCTTAAAACTCATTCTGTGCACAAGACACAGATGTCTGCTTCACAACAAAAAAACTGTCACAAAAACTATGTGTAAATGGACAAGTATGGCACAGAAATGGCAAACCACAGATGCTATGCATTTCAGGGCAACACTGTCTGCAATACAGCTGTCTCACTGTTTTGAAGAGTTAATTTCAACTTGCAACCAATGTTCCCTCTAAGCTACGCACTCCCTAGGACTACCCCACAGAAGAAATATCAGCTTGCGCAGAGAAATACGAGATTGAACTTCACTCAACTTTCTAGAGTTTTCCCCCTTAGTTAACACTATCAACGTTTCCCTTTACTGTGGGAATTGTGATCGAATCAACGCAATATTAGCCACTTTCAATGCAACATACCAAAACAAAAATAACTATGCAAGAGATTTTGAACGCAGAACGCATTGGAATATGATTTTATTGCTTTGACACGCTTTACTCAGCATGTACTCTACACAGACCGTTGCGGCAAAACCAATCAGAGCTGCAGTAGGCTTATATGCAAATAGACCATTGCCATATATGGATCTATGCCATTCACTTTGAACTGGACTGTGTTTACAGAATGAGCGGTCGTGAGTAGATGCGCTTGTTTTGCGATCAAAGCGAGAGCTGCATGTTGCCACGTGTGCACAGTTGTTCATTGCCAGTTATTGAGTTATTAGACCAGTTATAGATCATTTGTAGTCAGCAATGGGGGAGTAAATGCCTCCTACAAGAGCAGAAAACGTGTACATTTCTAGACATCTTTGAAAAGCGAGTCAGATAAACAGCTTATTTTTGTCTTAAAGGGGCAGTGTTGTATTTTGAGATAGGTTTGAATAAGCTAAGTAGCCAATAGGCAGAGGGTAGCATAATTTGTCTGATTCCCTGTCATTTTATTTTGTAAAGTGGTTTCTTGCATCAAACAACACAACATCATTTTCAGTCACCTCCTTGTCTGAAGGACAAGTGGATAAACAGGTTAATGTCTCATGGAATGTAGGCCTACATTGAACACCACAAATCAAATCAAATCACACACATTGGCTGCTACTGTAGGCTGAATGATAGAACAGCTATTTCCATGTTAAAATGTTAAGGGATGCATTTTCTCCATTGTTTTTGATGATAGGCCACTCTGGTAGGCCTACATTACGATCAAATAGCCACAGTAGCCTACTTGACCACTGTCTGAAACTGTAACTTAAAGTGGGTACAGCCTCAGTGTTCATAGCAAGCGCTTGTTGGAAGTTGCACAGAATTTTCACAACGGTCAAGTTTGCGCTCAGCAGACCTGAAATTATTCAGTGCCGAACTATGCCACTGATTTGTTTAGCAGTATGCTTGGTGGACTTTCCAGTGGACTTTCCAATCTTTCTTGAAACTTGGAATTGAGCCAAAAAAAAAGACCACTTAAGCTTTTAGGTTTTATAGTGAATTTGCTTTCTCTTGCTCAGGCCTACCTATTGCATTTCATTCTATCGATATCCATATAGATATTCACTCTGTCATTATGCATTAGCTGTAGTAGGTCAAGTGTTATAACAAGGAAGTGTTGCGTAATTACCTTTTGGTCGACTATAGAGCAGACCAGGTCTTTGACAGCAGACAGCGACAGGTCATGGTTCTCCAGGTTCACCGTCTCTCTGGTCAGGCCGATCTGGAGGAGGAAGGACACTCCATGGAAGGAGCTGCGGGAGTTGGTGGGGCTGGGAGCGCTGTGAGAGTGACTGTGACTCCCGTGACTCCCGTTGGACAGGCGGCTGTAAAGGGGTGCCGGGGGGCTCGGCGATGGTGAGGGGGTCAGAGGCACAGCTGGGAGTTGTGAGTGGAGGTAGGCTTTAGGAAAGGACGGAGGAGTTGAGCTGCTGCAGGCAGACATTGGGTTTCTTCCAATGGCAGAGATGATGATGCAAAATGTAAAGTAATATAACCATCAGTGATGCCTTTTTAAATAAGGCACCACTGAACCACTAGGAACAGACACAATTCTGAAGAAACACTCAAACCTCCTTCTAGGAGACATGAAATGCAAGATCTTCAAAGTATCACGAGCAGTGTTAGTCAATAGCAACAGTCAAACTTTCCTCCCCATTGACTTCTCAGACAGATGCCTGGCAATCAATTCATGGACAAAGCCTGATGATTCCACTAAATGGCCTCAGCTCTCTCTCCAAGGCAAGAGATGTTTGCCGTTTGCACTGCTGAGATACTGTGATGCTCCAGACGTCCTAGATTGATTCCCCAACGCTCACTGCAAGAGGCGTTCACCATTCCAAACTTCATGTTCTTGAATGGTGTCCCCTCACAGTACTAGAGTCACATATCTGCCCTGACCACAGGAAACATGTCACAAAACAGATACAGTACATTTAATGGTGGTAGAATAGAATATGTTTAGGTTTGTGGAAGTAGATGTAGGCTATAAAAGTAATCATTTTACATTATTCTACCAAACTGAACAAATTCAGCAAAACAAATCATGACCTCAAAGCTGTTTACACTTTCTGAGTAGGCTATGCAATAACAATAAGTGCTGCAATTTACGAGAAATAAACATGATAAGGTTTGCATACAATAAACACATCAAATAATTGTAATTGTAAACTTCGATTATATTGTAAGCCAGTACAAACAATGCATCATGTTTAATAACTTAACCTGACAAATTAGAGACATGGTGTAGTTTACCATACATTACGGAATGTTTTCTATTTATTTATTAATCATGCACAACCACCATCTGGAATCAAGGCTTCTCAACATCTGGACCATCCCACTTTCGATTGAATTGCTGGCAGAAGACGACCCCATGTCCACGAATGCCAGCAACACAAGTTATACAAGACCTGTTTTTGCATACTAAAAGTTTGTTGAAATATTCTTCAGTAGCCTATGAATTAGCCTAAATATTTCAATCGTCTATAAAATATGTCTAAAACATTATAGGCCTACTTACCTCCACTTTCTGCAAAAGGCGACGTTGGATCCATGGCCAGTGGACAGCAGAAACTTCTCCCAAAACTCCAACAATCGAAAAAAAAAACTAATGATTCAAGTTCATTCGCCTTTTCGCTAAATCATACAAATGCGCAACAATGTAACCATATGCATTAGTAGGATCGTCTAATAGCGTGCTAAAACTCACAGCCGAGTTCTCTGCTTTTTGAAACTTTCTCTTGTCGTCTATTCGTGGTTGCCAGACAGTAAATTCACGCGCATCTTATTATCCTTCCAGCTGTGAATACTCCCACTGTTCTGAGAGAAAGGGAGGAGAGAAAGGTTCCTGGGGCTTGAAGTTCTTTTACCTATTTGGTGCTTTGGGTTTCTATGGGTGAGGATAAATCTTCAAACTACAATCTCACATGCAATGGCGTCTCGAAAAAGTTATCTTTACATTGCGCATGTCTCTTTCATCTATCTTTTCCGTTAATCGGGGCTGATGCTGGAAAAAAAACACTAGTTACCCGACCTCTATTGGTTCAGTTCTGAAAATGAGTTGCCAGCAACGTAGAAGAAATGCCATCATCCTCAAATCAAATCAAATCAAGATGCTGATGTATTCCTTACACTGTTGTTGTACTGTTGCTCCTAATCTTGTTTTAGATAGGGTGGTGGCATACATCAGCATCTTGTTTCTTATCCAAATACGGAAATGGCAACACATTATGGATGTATAGATGTGTAATAACTCTGTAACACATATTTCTTAAATATATAAATGTTCCCAAATAACTCGAAATGCATAATGAAGTACTATATTACCCTGCATGCCCTCAACAATAAATTGGGGTTATAAAAATAGTACAATCTGGAACAGTAACAAGGTTATGACAATGGATTACAATGTTTAGTTTTTTCTTGTACAACATTTTATTTGCCATTTAAAACACAATCTCGAAAACATGAACAGTTGATAACTGACTATTTCTTTCACTTTTCACCAGTGAGATGTAACTAATTAATCTAAGAATTGTCTGCCAGGTAAGCGATACCCAATGCAACCAGCATACATAAAACAACTTAAGGCGGAAAAACTGTCGTCATGATTACATACATTTAAGTTATGAAACCACAGTGCAGAACCTGTGACGTTGAGTCAATACTGAGGGAAAGAGGGGTCTATTTTCTGGGCCCAGGCCATTAGTCCCCCACAGATGTCCTTCGCAGTGACACAGTCCACCTCAGAGCCTGACATTCTCTCCAAGACTTGAACTGCCTTCTGGGAGTCATTACCCAGCTTACAGATCACATAAACTGCAGCAGGGAAACACAAACAGAACAAATCAAAGTGAGTAGCTTCCATTTCCTGGCTTCTCACAAGACTACGACGTCTGGCTGGCTATGCGAGACTACGTGAGTTGAATTAATAAAATGGGTAGGAAATATTCTTTGTTTGATGCTTGGCCAGAAGCAGAGCCATGGCATGGTATTTTAATTCTAGTTCACTATTAGGTGTGTTATGAACATGATATTACTTATTTCACTCTTGAAACCTGAATTGATTTGAAACTTAAAAGGGTGTCATGTGTACCAGTTCAACTAAACTGTGTTAACTGTTTACCAAACAGAGTGTTTCCCAGAAATGGGCAATTAAAAGAGCTCATTAATAGCAAAATATACACAGGTTTGCTGGAAATACACTCTGCTGAAATAAAGACCATGATGAATATTCAATAAAAAGAGGCCAGCTGTTCACGATGACGGTATATTTTTGTGTTGGAAAAAGGATCACCTAGCAACTCCATCAACTCCCGTCATTGGCTGTCCAAAATAAACGAATACCCTCGCAGGACAACGCTACAGACTTAATTAGCACTCAAATTACTCCTCTTTTGTTCAGTGAATATGGAGCTGCTCCATAAGCCTAGCCACTGAAGAGCCACTGCATGTTGTGACCTGCATAGCTACATGGAGACCTATTGTCAGTCATGTTACCTGGGACCTGGGATTCACTTGACATCTGCTCTTTCACTTGGCCAATTCTCTCCTTCAGCACATGGATGTGTTCACTGTTCCTGTTCTCTAAACTGGAGAGAGGAATGTCTAGCAATGATATAAGGAAATTAAACATATTTTACCATTGAACTGAGGACAATTACTTGATTATTAATTCCGATCAGAACAGCTATGAAAGCACAGTGATGACTGATGTAATTCATGGAAAGTAGTATTAATATCCTCCTAAATAACTCCATATCTTTCTAATTGTACAGTGGCTTGCGAAACTATTCACCCCCCTTGGCATTTTTCCTATTTTGTTGCCTTACAACCTGGAATTAAAATGGATTTGTGGGGAGTTTGTATCATTTGATTTACACAACATGCCTACCACTTTGAAGATGCAAAATATTTTTTGGGGTGAAACAAACAAGAAATAAGACAAAAAAAAAAAAAACTTGAGCGTGCATAACTATTCACCTCCCCAAAGTCAATACTTTGTAGAGCCACCTTTTGCAGCAATTACAGCTGCAAGTCTCTTGGGGTATTTCTCTATAAGCTTGGCACATCTAGCCACTGAGATTATTGCCCATTCTTCAAGGCAAAACTGCTCCAGCTCCTTCAAGTTGGATGGGTTCCGCTGGTGTACAGCAATCTTTAAGTCATACCACAGATTCTCTATTGGATTGAGGTCTGGGCTTTGACTAGGATATTTAAATGTTTCCCCTTAAACCACTCAAGTGTTGCTTTAGCAGTATGCTTAGGGTCATTGTCCTGCTGGAAGGTGAACCTCCGTCCCAGTCTCAAATCTCTGGAAGACTGAAACAGGTTTCCCTCAAGAATTTCCCTGTATTTAGCACCATCCATCATTCCTTCAATTCTGACCAGTTTCTCAGTCCCTGCCGATTAAAAACATCCCCACAGCATGACGCTGCCACCACCATGCTTCACTGTGGGGATGGTGTTCTCGGGTGATGAGAGGTGTTGGGTTTGCGCCAGACATAGCGTTTTCCTTGATGGCCAAAAAGCTCAAATTTAGTCTCATCTGACCAGAGTACATTCTTCCATATGTTTGAGGAGTCTCCCACATGCCTTTTGGCGAACACCAAACGTGTTTGCTTATTTTTTTCTTTAAGCAATGGCTATTTTCTGGCCACTCTTCCGTAAAGCCCAGCTCTGTGGAGTGTACGGCTTAAAGTTGTCCTATGGACAGATACTCCAATCTCCGCTGTGGTGCTTTGCAGCTCCTTCAGGGTTATCTTTGGTCTCTTTATTGCCTCTCTGATTAATGCCCTCCTTGCCTGGTCTGTGAGTTTTGGTGGGCGGCACTCTCTTGGCAGATTTGCTGTGATGCCATAGTCTTTCAATTTTTTTAATAATGGATTTAAATGGTGCTCCGTGGGATGTTCAAAGTTTCAGATATTTTTTTATAACCCAACCCTGATCTGTACTTCTCCACAACTTTGTCCCTGACCTGTTTGGAGAGCTCCTTGGTCTTCATGGTGCCGCTTGCTTGGTGGTGCCCCTTGCTTAGTGGTGTTACAGACTCTGGGGCCTTTCAGAACAGGTGTATATATACTGAGATCATGTGACAGATCATGTGACACTTAGATTGCACACAGGTGGACTTTATTTAACTAATTATGTGACTTCTGAAGGTAATTGGTTGCACCAGATCTTATTTAGGGGCTTCATAGCAAAGGGGGTGAATACATATGCACGCACAACTTTTCCGTTATTTAATTTTTAGATTTTTTTTAAACAAGTTTCTTTCTTTTTTTCACTTCACCAATTTGGACTATTTTGTGTATGTCCATTACATGAAATCCAAATAAAAATCAGTTTAAATTACAGGTTGTAATGCAACAAAATAGGAAAAACGCCAAGGGGTATGAATACTTTTGCAAGGCACTGTATATAGTTAATGGAGTACAATGACAGAACGGCATTCAGCCAGCAGAAAGATACTAAGGGAGGTGGGCAGGTGACATATATCCACCTCCACTAGAGGGCGTACGTCCAGCAGGAGATGAGCAGCAGTGTGGTCCATTATAGATTTATACTCCTGGCAACAGAAAGGAGAAATGTCAATGTTTGTCAATGGTCACCTAGAACACTTCACTTTGTTAATGACAATGTTGGGTTTAAAGGTCTGCGACATCAGAATTGAAGTTGCTAGTTTTCTGTGAGATGACACACAGATGACAAACTGCTTTGGAGAATAACTTTTCTATAACTTATGCATGGTACAACTGGTTGCCTGTTTTTAGTTGAGTTGGGTGGAGTAAGCTTAATGTTTTGTCACATTATTTCAATTATAGGAAATAAAACTGTTTCCGACTCCAGGCCTTGCATAATCACTATTATAGGCCAATCAATCACGATCTTAATCTACTCTCTCTTAATGGCTCAATTCTTTTGAAAGCTGTAATTTAGCAGAAATCCAAACAACCCCTAAACCGCCACCATTTCTGTCAGTGCCAACAAAGAAAATTGGTTATTCTTTTCCGTAGAAAACGTACAATCGCGATTTAGTCATTTCCCATTTAGGGTTGGGTCAGTGTTAAGATTTAATCTGGGTTTATGAATGCACACAAATCACAGTGTAATCATCAGTGCTCGACTAGGACTGAAATAGGTGCCGATACTCATTTTGGGTGCTGGTACTGTTTACATTTAGGTGCAGGAGCGCCACAATACTTTTGAGCTAATATTCTATAATAGCAACAGGAGCTCAAACAGTAGAACATTTGAGGTCCGGCCCAAGTCAAGCATTGGTAATCATGCAATAATCGTCAAAAAACAGAAAGTCACGGACTATACTCTACCTGCACTGATACCCTCTGGTCTTTGGAGAGAAGGTTTAGTCTTCGACACTGAAAGAAAACCCAGAAAATATTAGGTAAATATATTCAAAGCAAACATTTAAACAAAATTGTCCTATAATTAATGTAAAATGGGAATGTTATTTTGCTTTTTTAGTCCAGTAAAGCACAGAAAACTCATTTTGACATACAGTGTATAGCTATTTATCTGAATTATAGATAATGAACACATTTTCCTGGCCCAACATTCCATATGCTATGTGTATTTGCTAAGGGGTTTAAAGGTGAGTGACGACACTTTTGCCAATTCAGATTTACTTTAAAATGCTAACCCCTTGAAAGTCTTAACAATGAATATGCAGGATCAATGCTTTGCCCACAGTGTCCTCTTCTCAGTGACCCCTGACCTTATCTGTGGCAGCAGACCCACAGAACTTCTCATAGTCCACTAAGTGTGTGACAGTGGGGTTCTCTCCACACACAGCACAGCTGGCCTGCTTGGGGCGCAGCCTGATGGACCGGAACTTGACATCCTGGGCGTCAAACATCAATAGCTGTTGGCCACAGGAAGCTGTCACACTGGGTCAAGGAAGGGGCTCCTGTCTGACTGACACACATCACTATGATTCACAGCATGACCCACTTCACCTCAAAGGTCCTGCAAATCTACAGAATTTCCTCTCTTTTAGTCAAGCTTTATCAGATGGGCATGGTCATGAAGAAAAACACCCCCTTCCTTCCCATGCTAAACTGACTCATTCAGGCTTTCATTCATCCAGTCAGCACCATGACTAAGCATAAAGTGCCGTTTCATTGTACAGTAGATAAGCTGTAGTGGGGCTGTGGAGTGACACAGGGAGCTTTCACTGAGAAGGATACAGCCCTGTCCTGAGGCAATCTTCAGGACCTCCAACGCTTGGAAGCATCCCATGATCCCTGGCACTGAGACAAAAGAGTGAAACATCAACAATCAATTATTTTCTCTATCGAAGGGTGAAGACATGAATCAGAAGAGGACTCACCTACTCCTAGGACCCCTCCGTCAGAGCAGTTGGTCACCGTCTCCGGGGGTGGAGGCTTTGGGTACAGACACCTGTAGCAGGGGCCTCCACGGTAGTTATACACTGTCAACTACAGACACAGACAACAGGGGTTACTATGCACAAAGGATGAGTAACAATAAACATATGCCATTTACTAGTCAGTCATTTGTCAGACATTGATGTAAATCCAGTTAGCTTGCGGGGACTTAAATGTAGAGACTCAAATGTAATTCGATCCTTACCTGGCCCTCCATTCTCAGGGCACTGGCAGATACTAGGGGCTTGCCACTGAGGACACAGGCATCATTCACCAGATAGCGGGTGGGAACATTGTCCGAACAGTCAGCCACAATGTTGTACATGAGGTGGATAATGTCAAGGAGTAAAAATGTAGTTATTTCACCTCAGAAAGTCAGTGTTATGATAAATGTTTGACTCTCCTGGATTTGATGACACAGAAAACCTGTATGACAGACAGTAAAGTCTTTACCTCCTGTAAGATAATATAAGGCTCAAAGCTGAGAGGGAGGATACTGTTGGATGAGCTGTAAGGCGTTCTCTGGAGAGAGCTGGAGGTGGTAGGGAATGCATTCTACTGTGGAGTTCAACCTGTACACACATAAAAGGACAGAGGCCATTCACATTCAAACCAAATCTCACCCTCCCATCCCACCCCTTATATCTAACTCATTTTGGAGAGCAAGAAACTACTGCAAAGAATATTGGCTGGCTAATGTTATTTTCCTTTGAATGCCTAAAGACTAAAAGCAGCAATGAACAGTTGAAACAATAACAAAGCGTTTTCCCCACCCGTTTCGGTAAAAAGCTGAGGGATGGGGCCGGAGAAATGTAACCACTCTCAAATTCATAGACAGAGCTATGGATGCAAGGACTGAACATCCATGATATCAAAATTATAGTTTTAACCATGTTTGAGGCTATATAGTTTTTGTTTACGTTTACGTTGTTTACAAACATTGGAGTGAAATAAGCTTATATTTTGGGTTCTGATGGGGGACGACAGTAGAACTAATAGTTCATGAGGCATTTATATGATATATTATTTAAGAATCAATGGGTACATATAATTCATTTATAAATACAAAAATGGATGTAGTAACTGCTGATTTTCCCTTTAACATTCAATTGCATTACCATTCATGTACTGTATGTTCACTCCAACAAATAAAAGGGGGGACTATAGTACTATACAGTTTATCATAAGACCGCTAAATAGAACCAAATGGCTACCCGGACTACCTGCACTGATCCTTTTTTGCACTAACTCTCTTGCACAGACTATGCACGCCCACTGGACCACCCAAACCCGTCAGTCTATTCTTGTTCTGAGAAATGAAGGCTATTCCATGCGAGAAATTGCCAAGAAACTGAAGATCTCGCACAACGCTGTGTACTACTCCCTTCACAGAACAGCGCAAACTGTCTCTAACCAGACTAGAAAGAGGAGTGGGAGGCCCCGGTGCACAACTGAGCAAGAGGACAAATACATTAGTGTCACGCCCTGACTCTGGGGACTCGTATTTGTTGAGTCAGGGTGTGTATTTTCTGTGTGGTATGTACTATGTTGTATTTTCTAGGGTTAGATCTAGATCGTCTAGATCTATGTTGGCCGGTGTGGTTCCCAATCAGAGGCAGCTGTCGCTCGTTGTCTCTGATTGGGGCCCATACTTAGGTAGCCTATTGGCACTAGTGGGTTGTGGGATCTTGTTCCGTGATAGGTATGTTTGTTTGTGTACCTTGGACTTCACGTTTCGTTTGTTTATTGTTTTGTCGGTTGTTTATTCATTAAAATAAACATGTACGCATATCACGCTGCGCCTTGGTCCGTCCCGTCTGTAAACGAACGTGACAATTAGAGTGTCTAGTTTGAGAAACAGGCGCCTCACAGGTCCTCAACTGGCAGCTTCATTACATAGTACCCGCAATATGGCTAGACAGCACTGAACACTATATGCATGTGAGAGTCTATGGCGGCAGGTAGCTTAGAGGGTAAGAGCGTTGTGCCAGTAACCGAAAGGTCGCTGGTTCTAATCCCCGAGCCGACTAGGTGAAAAATCTGTCGATGTGCCCTTAAGCAAGGCACTTAACCCTAATTGCTCTTGTAAGTCGCTCTGGATAAGAGCGTCTACTAAATGACTAAATTTTAAAAATGTAAAACACCAGTCTCAACGTCCAGTGAAGAGGCGACTCCGGGATGCTGACCTTCTAGGCAGAGTTGCAAAGAAAAAGGCATATCTCAGACTGCCCATCTTAATCTTTTCTTTTTATTGGCCAGTCTGAGATATGGCTTTTTCTTTGCAACTCTGCTTAGAAGGTCAGCATCCCGGAGTCGCCTCTTCAATGTTGACGTTGAGACTGGTGTTTTGCGGGTACTAATTAATTAAGCTGCCAGTTTTCAGCTGTGCTAACATAATTGCAAAAGGGTTTTCTAATGATCAATTAGCCTTTTAAAATGATAAACTTGGATTAGCAAACACAACGTGCCATTGAAACACAGGACTGATGGTTGCTGATAATGGGCCTCTGTACGCCTATGTAGATATTCCATTAAAAATCAGCCGTTTCCAGCTACAATAGCCATTTACAACATTAACAAATGTCTACACTGTATTTCTGATCAATTTGATGTTATTTTAATGGACAAAAAAATTGCTTTTCTTTCGAAAACAATAACATTTCTAAGTGACCCCAAACTTTTGAATGGTAGTGTACTTACACACTACATACACCCACACACAAACATACCATGCACACACATGTATACTGACACCACACAAACACACACACAGTCTATTATCTATCCTGTTTCCTAGTCACTTTAACCCTACCTATATGTACATAGCTACCTCAATTACCTCGTACCCCTGCACATCAACTCTGTTCTGGTACTCCCTGTATATAGCCATGTTATTTATACTTGTTATTGTTATTCACTGTGTATTTATTCCTCCTGTCACTATTTCTATTGGAATTTTTAACTCTGCATTGTTGGAAAAGGATCCGTAACTAAGCATTTCACTGATAGTCTACACCTGGTGTTTACGAAGCATGTGACAAATACATTTGGATTTGATCTGAGAGCAAGCCGTTGCTGTTTGGGTAAATGGCACCTCCTAGTGGCCATAGCTATGATGTGGCGGTTAATCAGCACTGCAGCATCAGTGAGTGAAGTATCACAATCCGTGCTTTCAAAAATACATAAACAGAGAGAGATAGTTGAGTATTTGTGGACATTCAAAACAACAGTGTAATACAACACCGTGACATTGTAGTGAGATGGCAATGAATGCACCAATTTATGGTTGTGACAGGCAAGATCGCAGTCCATGTACCAGCCTGTGCAGGCCCCAGTAGTCTCCTTTACCTTCTGACAGCGTGGGCAGCAGACTGGGCCTTGGGCTGGCCCTGGCTGTCCTCTCCATGGAGTACCTGTCTGTGCAGATTACTCAGCTCCACTTGGTCATGGTCCAGCAGACCCACACGCCCTGGGGTTATAAAGGGATGGGCCCTTTTATAACAGCGTACACACACATTAGTATTGCACATCCCTAAAGGTTAAAAGGTGTATTACATGTAGGCCTACCTAATAATTTGTTAAGTTGAGCAACTATGCCATCCTCAAATATGCCATCCTCAAATGCTATGTTGATTTGTAGCGATTCAAGGGAATTGTACATCTATATGGGTGTACAGCATATGAAATCACTGACCATTACTGAAGGTATAACTTACTGCTATTCTCTCTGCCCACATTTTTACCTACCGATTCCTGCTGCTGCTAGATACTGTGCCAGGGGGCAGCCTAGTCCTCCACACCCTACAACCAGCACTGATGTCTGGGAGAGGTTCAGCTGACCTGCAGAGAGTAAAGGATGTGTTCAATAAGGTGTTCAATAATGTTACACTCGGGATCGCAACTTTCACTGGAGACGGGGGTCCCGCCAGTTTTATCATTGGAATGTAATACAAAACATGGCAACCGTGTGCTTTAGGACCATGCAGACGGCTCCGAGCGGTCGGTAGGCTGTTTGGAGTGTTTATCCGACTGGATAAAAATATATATACAGTACCAGTCAAAAGTTTGGACACACCTACTCATTCAAGGTTCTTTCTTTATTTTTACTATTTTCTACATTGTAGAATAATAGTGAAGACATCAAAACTATAAAATAACACATATGGTATCATGTAGTAACGAAAAAAGTGTTAAATAAATCAAAATATTTGCCTTGATGACAGCTTTGCACACTCTTGGTAGTCTCTCAACCAGCTTCACCGGAATGCTTTTCCAACAGTCTTTGAAGGAGTTCCCACACATGCTGAGCACTTCTTGGTTGCTTTTCCTCCGACTCATCCCCAACCATCTCAATTGGGTTGAGGTCTGGGGATTGATGCGGCCAGGTCATCTGATGCAGCACTCCATCACTCTCCTTCTTGGTAAAATAGCCCTTACACAGCCTGGAGGTGTGTTGGGTCATTGTCCTGTTGAAAATCAAATGATAGTCCCACTAAGCCCAAACCAGATGGGATAGCGTATCGCTGCAGAATGCTGTGGTAGTCATGCTGGTTAAGTGTGCCTTGAATTCTAAATAAATCACAGACAGTGTCACCAACAAAGCACCCCCACACCATAACACCTCCTCCTCCATGCTTTATGGTGGGAAATACACATGCTGAGATTATCCGTTCACCCACACCGCGTCTCACAAAGACACGGCGGTTGGAACCAAAAATCTTCAATTAGGACTCCAGACGAAAGGACACATTTCCACCGGTCTAATGTCCATTGCTCGTGTTTCTTGGCCAAAGCAGGTCTCTTCTTCTTATTGGTGTCCTTTGGTAGTGGTTTCTTTGCAGCAATTCGACTATGAAGGCCTGATTCACACAGTCCCCTCTGAATAGTTGATGTTGAGATGTGTCTGTGACTTGGACTCTGAGGCTGGTAAGTCTACTGAACTTATCCTCTGCAGCAGAGGTAACTCTGGGTCTTCCATTCCTGTGGTAGTCCTCATGAGAGCCAGTTTCATCATAGCGCTTGACGGTTTTTGCGACTGCAATTGAAGAAACTTTAAAAGTTCTTGAAATTTTCCATATTGACTTCATGTCTTAAAGTAATGATGGACTGTCGTTTCTCTTTGCTTATTTGAGCTGTTCTTGCCATAATATGGACTTGGTCTTTTACCAAATAGGGCTATCTTCTGACTTCTGCAATTTATTGCCCTGGCCACATCTGCAGTCCTCATGCCTCCTTGCAGCATGCCTAAGGCACGTTCACGCAGATGAGCAGGGACCCTGGGCATCTTTCTTTTGGTGTTTTTCAGTCAGTAGAAAGGCCTCTTTAGTGTCCTAAGTTTTCATAACTGTGACCTTAATTGCCTACCGTGTCTTAACGACCGTTCCACAGGTGCATGTTCATTAATTGTTTATGGTTCATTGAACAAGCATGGGAAACAGTGTTTAAACCCTTTACAATGAAGATCTGTGAAGTTATTTGTATTTTTACCAATTAGTTTATATATACAGTGCATTCGGAAAGTATTCAGACCCCTTGACTTTTTCCACATTTTGTTACGTTACAGCCTTATTCTAAAATGTATTACATTGTTTTATTCCATCATCAATCTAAACACAATACCCCATAATGACAAAGCAAAAACAGGTTTGTAGAAACGTTAATTTATTAAAAATAAAAAACTGAAATATCACATTTACATTAATATTCAGACCCTTTACTCAGAACTTTGTTGAAGCATCTTTGGCAGCGATTACAGCATCAAGTCTTCTTGGGTATGGCGCTACAAGCTTGGCACACCTGTAATTGGGGAGTTTCTCCCATTCTTCTCTGCAAATGGGGAGCATTGCTGCACAGCTATTTTCAGGTCTCTCCAGAGATGTTAGATCGGGTTCAAGTCCGGGTTTTGGCTGGGCCACTCAAGGACATTCAGAGACTTGTCCCAAAGTCACTCCTGCGTTGTCTTGGCTGTGTGCATAGGGTCATTGTCCTTTTGGAAGGTGAACCTTCGCCCCAGTCTGAGGTCATGAGCGTTCTGGAGCAGGTTTTTATCAAGGATCTCTCTGTACTTTGCTCCGTTCATCTTTGCCTCGATCCTGACTAGACTCCCAGTCCCTGCCGCTGAAAAACATCCCCACAGCATGATGCTGCCACCACCATGCTTCACCGTAGGGATGGTGCCAGGTTTTCTCCAGATGTGACGCTTGGCATTCAGGCCAAAGAGTTCAATTTTGGTTTCATCAGACCAGAGAATCTTGTTTCTCATGGTCTGAGATTCTTTAGGTGCCTTTTGGCAAACTCCAAGCGGGCTGTCATGTGCCTTTTACTGAGGAGTGGCTTCCGTCTGACCACTCTACCATAAAGGCCTGATTGGTGGAGTGCTGCAGAGATGGTTGTCCTTCTGGAAGGTTCTCCCATCTCCACAGAGGAACTCTAGAGCTCTGTCAGAGTGACCATCAGGTTCTTGGTCACCTTCCTGACCAAGGCCCTTCTCCCCCGATTGCTCAGTTTGACCGGGCGGCCAGCTCTAGGAAGAGTCTTGGTGGTTCCAAATTTCTTCCATTTAAGAATGATGGAGGCCACTGTGTTCTTGGGGACCTTCAATGCTGCAGAAATGTTTTGGTACCCTTCCCCAGATCTGTGCCTCAAAACAATCCTGTCTCGGAGCTCTACGGACAATTCCTTCGACCTCATGGCTTGGTTTTTGCTCTGACATGCACTGCCAACAGCGGGACCTTATATAGACAGGTGTGTGCCTTTCCAAATCATGTCCAATCAATTGAATTTACCACAGGTGGACACCAATCAAGTTGTAGAAACATATCAAGGATGATCAATGGAAACAGGATGCACCTGAGCTCAATTTCGAGTCTCATAGCAAAGGGTCTGAATACTTATGTAAATAAGGTATTTCTGTTATTTATTTTTACTGAATTTGCAAAAAAATAATTTGCTTCGTCATTATGGGGTATTGTGTGTTGATTGCTGAGGAGTTTTATTTATTTAATCAATTTTAGAATAAGGCTGTAACGTAACAAAATGTGGATAAAGTCAAGGGGTCTGAACACTTTCTTAAGGCACTGTTTATATATAGTTATGTCCCCCCCCACCCACTTCTAAAACCGAAGTTGCACCCCTGATTACACTAAATGAATACCCTTATTTCAGAGGTTGGGTGAAAGCTGTCATTATTACCTTGTACACCCAGCTCTGGCAGTAGAAGCTGTCTGCTGTAGCGCATGATGTCTTCATTGGACAGGGCTGCCTTGGGTTTCAGAGGTGGAAGTGTTGTCACTTTCTCCTGCAGCTGCAGACCTGTCAAACATTTCTGATTTCAGTGGAGAAAAGAAGGAGAGAGTGTATGGTTTATTTAGTGGTTCAGAATAAAAGTTGTGGTTATTATAGACAATCTGAAATGTCACTTTATAACCAAATGTGCTAGAAAGTCAACTGAATTGTAGGCTAACTGGTCTCACAAGGCTATCCTTCCAAATCTGGTCTTGTTGACTCAAACCCATAGAGAATGATAGAGGACTCTTCTTAGTATCTGTCCCATTATGGCGTCTGCGTACCGGCAGCGCCATTAAGGCAACTTAGTAGTCCATTTTCTTCTACTACTTCTATGAGTTGGTAAACAAACTGACAGTGTGCTTACTGCCACCTGGAGTGTGTTGTTTCAACAGGTATAAAGCCAAGGTTGGCGATTTACTGCCACTTGCAGTTATGGAATGTTTGAGCACGATCATAATTAATTGGCTGATCCCTCCTGATGACCCAGATGGAATTATGTGATCCTTCCCACTAGGGGTGTGAATGTTTAAACATTAAAACGAAGTTGGGATCCTTAACGTTAAGAAAAATCCCTCACCGAAAAACAAAATGTTTTTTGTTTTTTCCCCCACTTAATTAAAAGCACAGTGCAGTTATCACAAAACATATTATTTTTTGTATTATAGTTGATAGGCTATAAAGGCCTGGGAAAGTTGTGTAATTCAAATAAAACCAAAGAGGAAGAGGCGAACTTTAGGCTACTTTGATGAATTTGCAAGGCATGCAACACAAGACATTGTGAGATGCAGATTACCAAAACATGAGCACGCGTCTGCCTGCCCCTCCTCTCTCCCTCACGCTGGCCTGCCAGCCCCTCCTCTCACTCCCTCACGCTGGCCTGCCTGCCCCTCCTCTCTTTCCCTCACGCTGGCCTGCCAGCCCCTCCTCTCAATGTTGCCGGGATACAGAGGTCTCTTCGGGCCAGTCTTGCGAGCTCGGGGAAGCCTACTCTTCGTTTTTGCCTCATAATATGAAATTACAGTAGGCTACCGGTAGCCTTTATCGATGACCCCTTTCAGACATAATGGAATGTGGCCCCTTGAAAGTGCCTCGGCTACGGCATGTTTGCTTGTCTGTCTGTTAGGGTAGGCTACTTTTAAATACTGACACGAAACCTTCTCTGGACATATGAACAGGTATTTATTTTACTTGTCTGTAAAGGAATGAGACTTCTGAAGCGGTACTAACATCCACCAGACATGTCACCCACTGAGCATGTTTGGGATGCTCTGGATCGACATGTACGACAGCGTGTTACACTTCCCGCCAATATCCAGCAACTTCGCACAGCCATTGAAGAGGAGTGGGACAACATTCCACAGGCCACAATCAACAGCTTGATCAACTCTATGCGAAGGAGATGTCGCGCTGAACAAGGCAAATGGTTGTCAGACCAGATACTGACTGGTTTTCTGATCCACGCCCCTACCTTTTTTTAAAGGTATCTGTGACCAACAGATGCATATCTGTATTCCCAGTCATGTGAAATCCATAGATTAGGGCCTAATTAATTTATTTCAATTGACTGATTTCCTTATATGAACTGCAGTGGCAGTTTTACACGGAGGCCGGGGGAGGCCCGTGCCTCCCTGGAAATGTCCCTGGCCACCCCTGTGGCCCCCCCGTGCTGACCAAATAAAAAATTATGAATTTATAACTATTTTACACGCGAGCGCCAAAAGCGGAACTAATGCAACGCTCTACACGGCAACGTTCTACACGGGTAAATTAGAGTGGCGCACCCAAAAACTGTATCCTGCCATCTGCCTGCCTGCCACGTGTGGTGCTGCTTCGGTGAATGAGAGCTCAGCAACTACTATTTGCGAGAGGAGCTACGATTTGCAGGAGTCGAAGGTAAGAAAAACGATTTAATATCATAAGTGACTTGTTGTTCTTGCACATAGCCTACATGTTCCTTTTGTTCCTCACACATAAATCAAATCAAGTTTTTAAATGTCTGGTCTCGATTTGTTTAGAAATGTAATCATATCTAAGCAAACTCATCGAAGCAGAAGCAAATATCCAAATGTTAGTAGGCTATCCTTGCTAGGTCTACACAATGTTGTGATGTTAACCACGTAACTTCATCCGTCTTGGCTGTTGCATCGCGATAACAAATACATTTTTAGTAAAGTAATCAACAGGTTATCTGCCAGTGTTAAGTAGGGAGGGATGGTTAGGTAACAAAATGTAATGCATGCCCCTACGTTTTTTCTTCTTCTAATAGTTATCATGAAACGAGGAAGGGACATAAAGTCATTTTTTGCCCCAGCAAACAAAAAAGTGAGAGAAACAAATCGAGGTTTTGAGAAAGTTGAGGAAGAGGGAGAGCCAGCATGTGATGAAAGTGAGGGGTCTGACAAAGAGAGGGAAATTCCAGAGGGTGAGGAGGATGAAGAAGAGGGTGAGGAGGATGAAGAAGAGGGTGAGGAGAATGAAGAAGAGGGCGAGGAGAATGAAGAAGAGGGTGAGAAGCATGAAGAAGAAAGCATACAGCGACAGAGAGATGAACAGCCAGAGGGACAGCAAGTGGATCCATGTGGATCAAGTACTGCACCATCAGGTTTGTGATGAGGAAGGTTCTTACTATTTGCAAAGCAATGCAATTACAATGTAATGGTAGGCCTGCTGGGTGTCCTTAAAATGCTGCTTTCTGCTGTTAATTCTTTTTTGTGTCAATATGGCTCTGTTTTTTTTTTTAAGTAAATACTTTGCCTACATTTTGAAATACATGCAGATATACAGTAAATAAATGTTGTAGTTGTGCCCTATGTTTACTGTCCATCTTCTTCAGATATCAGCAAGTCTAAGTATGACGTACCAGTACAGCCGAACTTGAAGATATTCCCAACCACACTGATGGGGGACAGAAGACGAAGCTTCAGACCAAACTGGTACACTACTCATCCATGGCTTGAGTATTCTGTAATGACGGACTCTACATGTTGCTATGCATGTAGACATTTTAGCACACCAAATGCCCCAGACACCGTTTTTGTTTCAACACCTGGTTTTACAAACTGGAAAAAGGCAACTATGAGAAATGCAGGGTTTTCACTACATGCAAAGTCTGAACGACACAAGTGTGCAATGATCGCATGGAGGGATTATCAAAGAGCTGTTAGAACTGACGCAACACTAACAGATCTCCTTGACAAAGAACACACTAAACAAGTACAAGAAAATCAGGCATACATTAAAACAGTTGGGGAAGTGCTGTTGCTTACAGCTACACAAAACATAGCACAAAGAGGACATGATGAATCTGAAGGGTCCACTAACAAAGGAAACTTTAGGGAAATTCTTAACACAGTTGCTAACCACGACCAACTTGTTAAGAGAAGATTAACTTCCATTCACAATGCAAAGTACACAAGCAAGATCATCCAGAATGAGGTTTTGGGTTGTTTGGCAGAAATGGTTCGGTCTGAAATCATAGAAGAAGTGAAGAAAAGTGAGGTTTTTAGCGTCATGGCAGATGAAACAAAGGATATTTCAAAAAAAGAACAGATGTCCTTCACACTCAGGTACTATTACAATGGGGCCATTAAGGAGAGTTTTCTCCATTTTGAATCTGCAGAGAGGTTAGATGCAGCAGGGCTTACTGGAAAAATAGTACACTTACTGGAACGTTATGGCCTGGACTACAAAAATAACCTCGTAGGCCAAGCGTACGATGGCGCTGCCGTTATGAGCGGTAAGCATTCAGGGGTTCAGGCAAGGATCAAAGAACAGGCTAAATTTGCCTTCTACGTCCATTGTAGTGCTCATTGTCTGAATTTAGTGTTAGTTGATGTAGTCAAAAGTGTCCCAGAAACGGAGGAGTTTTTTTCTTTGTTACAGAGTCTTTATATGTTTACTTCTTCCTCATATGTGCACCCAAAATGGCTGTCTCTCCAAAGAGAAATGTATGGCAGAACCAGAGAGCTGCAACGTTTAAGCGACACACGTTGGTCATGCCGATTTCTAGCCCTACGTAATATCATGGACACTCTACCTGCCCTTAAACGACTACTGCAAGAGATTGCTCAAGAACGTCATGGTGAAAGAACTGTTGAGGCCCGAGGTCTTCTTGCTCAAATTGACCTAGAATTTGTTGTGCATCTTGTTACTCTGCGTAAGTTGTTTGGGGAGACAAAGCTATTGTCTGACATGTTACAGTCACAAACTGTTGATCTGTCAAGTGCTGTTGACTTAGTAAATGCTTTAGTCCTGACATTGAAAGACCACAGGCAGGAGTCTTTCTTTGATGAGTTGTGGGATGAAGCATTGAATATTTGTGAGCAGTGTGATTCTGCAACAAGGTCAGTGGCGAAACGTCAGAAAATGCTGAGCTCTAGACTCAGTGGCTACTGCACGCTAAGCACTGTTGGTCAGAGGGAGGTAGAACGTGACAAAGATATGTTTCTCACATCATTTTTCTATCCTGTAATTGACAGCATGCTCAATGAGTTGAACAGACGTTTCTCCAATACAAACTGTGAGCTCATGAGAAGCATACAGTCTCTCAGTCCCCAGAGTGATACCTTTTTAAAGGAGAGCAATGTTTTTTCATTTGGCCGTTTGTATAATGCAGACATTGATGATTTAGGGCATGAGCTCCATCAATTTAAGAGAGTTTTGGACAGAAAAATACAGAGTGGTGAAGTCAAAAAGCCATGCAGTACAGTTGAGCTGGTTTGTTTTATTGAGCCATACAGGGAAGTTTTCTTTGAGCTCTTTAGACTGTGCAAGATTGCTGTAACCCTTCCTGTAAGCTCAGCCTCTTGCGAACGCAGTTTCTCCACACTGAAACTGATAAAAACCTTCCTGCGGTCCACCACTAGTGATGAGAGACTCAGTGATCTTGGTGTCCTGAGCATAGAGTCCAGAAGGGCCAAGGCTCTGGATCTTGATGTATTTGTGGACCGTTTTGCCAGACAGCACAACCGCCGTATCCTGTTGCTGTAGTGTATCTATATGATATATACGCTAGTAGCGTATGAGTGCCGCTGTGAGGAAAAAGAGATATAATGAACAATAAAACAACAAGCTTGAGCTTCTTAAGACACGGTGGGTTTATCTGTTCTCAATACCACCGGTAAAATGAATGGAGTTAGTCTGGTGTCCGCATGAAGTTACGTGTGTAGACAAAGAGTCTGGTGTCCATATGAAGTTACATGTGTAGACAGAGACAGTCTGGTGTCCATATGAAGTTACATGTGTAGACAGAGACAGTCTGGTGCCCATATGAAGTTAAATGTGTAAACAAAGACAGTCTGGTGTCCATATGAAGTTACATGTGTAGACAGAGACAGTCTGGTGCCCATATGAAGTTAAATGTGTAAACAAAGACAGTCTGGTGTCCATATGAAGTTACATGTGTAGACAGAGACAGTCTGGTGCCCATATGAAGTTACATGTGTAGACAAAGAGTCTGGTGTCCATATGAAGTTACATGTGTAAACAGAGACGGTCTGGGGTCCATATGAAGTTAGATGTGTAGACAAAGACAGTCTGGTGTCCACATGAAGTTACATGTATCTACTTAGATGAACCCACCGTGTCTTAAGAAGCTGAAGCTTGTTTTATTTTTCATTTTACATCATCTATCTTTTTTTCCTCACAGTACCAGTAGTTCCACACACTACTAGCGTGTATGTATGTTTGTATGTATGTATATATATCCCACCAATCCTCTCTCAAGAGGTTTTCAAAAAGGGGCAAACTCATGTCTCAAGACCTGCTTCTGTTGGTTCCCCTCTCCTGCCTGTAACTTTCCATCCACATCCCCAAAGTTTTGTGGCCCATTATGACATCACTCCATTAAGTGATTGCTGCATGTACTGCTCTAAGGAAACACTTCTCTCTCTCTCTCTCTCTCTCTCTCTCTCTCTCTCTCTCTCTCTCTCTCTCTCGATAGATAGATAGAGTTTATGATTTTATTCTTTTGAATTATCTCTGCCAAACATCTATGTACTACAAATCTTCAAGCTCCACAGATGTTTTATGGCATCCACTAAACCTCTTTAGATATTTGTAAATTATACAGTGTGATACCTTTCAACGAAAGTTTATTTTATTTTTTACCAACTATGATTTTTCCTTTTGAAAACAAGCAAAGCAAGAAAAAAAAGAAACAAAATCACTCCAATCATTGCACACTTGTGTCGTTCAGACTTTGCAGGTCCAGCTTTGACATGATGATCTAACTAACACTAATATTGTAACTAATATTGTAACTGAAATATGTATGATCCTATGATGAGCGATTGCTTACTTCCCTTTCACTCTTAAAAAATTACTGGAAAAAAAATGTGTATAAAAAGGTATATGTAGTATATGTTTGTTTAGTGAGCATTCATGCTGTCATTTTTTCCTAATGTGAACTATGGTGGAAATGTGCTGTCCTAAATGGACTTGCCCATATATGTTGTAAAGCCTTTTTTTGTACACCTGCTCATCAACTGACAGTGAAGTACACAAAGACACAGACACACACACACACACACACACACACAGACACCTGTAATATTCTTGTTTTCATGTTGTTGCTGATATCCATCAGTGTTGTTCATATTGCTACATTGTGTTGACATGATTGTTGCTTTTAAACGAATGTTAACTTAATGTTTATTGTCTGCATCCTATTGGACTACTGGATGTTAATGTGTAACACGTTTCCCTGTTTATGTGCTTTAGCAATACTGTATGTCAATATGGTCATGCTAGTAAAGCCTCTTTGAATTGAATTTCTTTTCTGATTTGGTTTATTTTACCTAAATGGATACAGGGTAGTGTGTTTTGTTTATAAATCACTCAGAAAGTTTTCTTTCTTAAAACAAAATGTGGAATCAACTGTCCACAGTAGTGGGGCTCCATAAATAGGAAATGGCACATTGTTGTACCCTTTGTTGTATCCTGGAGTTTTGTTCACATTGAATATGAACCCTGTATTTGTACCCTGTACTTTTAATTTTTTTTATTTATTTATTTTCATTTTTATGGCACTATCTCTCTTGCATCTGCACTCTTGTACAAAATACGTGTTATAATAAATGTCATATGATTTTAAAGTAAAATAAAGTTTATAATCTTTGAATATCATGTGTTGCCAGTTTTTTTATGTGTGCCCCCCTGATTAAACACTGGCCCCTCCTTGGCCCCCCTAGTAAAATGTGTCTAGAACCGCCACCTATTAGGACCATTGATTCTGCATTGTAAATTGACATGTATTTTTTCTTATAATTTTTACGGAAAACCGATAAAACAATGGCAATGTAAACGTTAAGCAACATTTTCCATTTGTCACATACCTACTGCCCACCCAGTTGACTACTTAAAAATGGAGTAAGTCCTCAATAGCGCTGCCCATGCTAAGACAAGCTTTTGGGCAATAGAGTCCTCTATCTATCTCTATGCTCAAACCAAAGACGTCTTCCTCACTGCTTAAACCATCCAAAATATTTGCCCATACTCTGAACCATGTAGCTAGATTGTAACTTGCTCTGCTGCTAAATAGCCACAGCAAGCCCTAGGCTACAGCTAACTAGCCTACTGGTATTCAATCAATGTAAAAAGGAAACCTACCTTTTCTAATTGTGCCAGTTTATCCTTCAATGCAACTATCTCTTTTTCTTTTTCCATAAGTCGTGACTTCAAACAGGAAACCTCTTCCGCCATTGCTGCAATACGATATAGGACACGTGGGATACAAAACGGTTACAATGTTAGCGAAATAATGCCACAATCTTACTTATTGCAACTGTTTTAGTGATTAATGTATGTTGTCCTTTGTAAAAGTCGGACTAGGCACTTCCTGGTCTACAGAAGAGACCCCACGTGGAATGAGACCACGTGCCAGTTGGGGGTGCGTTCCCAATGACTGTAGCCTATTCCCGCGCCACATCGAATCAAGCGGGAGATCAAGGCACTGCATGCACTGTGGTCGCTGAGCAGTTCAGTTCCCACAGTTTGATTACTTTACTATAGGAAAGTAGGCTAATTGAAATATCTCAAATGAAAGTTATGAATTCACTTGGAAAGGCTTACATTTGAACTTACAATCGTTTACTTGTATTGCTTGATTACCATGCCTCCTAAAATGCAGATACATTTAGAGATGCAAGCTTTGTTCAAATGTTAATATCTGCAAAATCGATTTGAAGTCTTCATAACAAATCAAACATGAAACCAAAGTGACAATTTCACATAAATAGACCCTCTGCTCTGTGGCGCCTTGGTATTAAAAAAAAACGGTGACGCTGTAGAATGCCTCTGGTCCTCCCTCATGTTTTTCACATGATCCAAGATTACACGGAGGAGAGGTTTTGAATGTTCAGTGAGAGAAACCGCAGCGATGGCTGAACGTCGCTCCAGTCCGTTTATGCATTTATTTTATGTAGTGAGCATTTTTGCAACATTTATCGATAATATCAATGGACAGAGAGCACAGCTCCCATGGACACAAGAGAAGGTAGGCTACAAAAAAATATAACAGTACACTGTTCAATGATTATGTGTGCATGATCTTGTTGCTTTTATCAAAACAAAAAAGTTATTACTAAATTATTACTTTCTGTTGCATAGCATATATGATTTCTATAGTGTATTTAGAATATGTCATAAAGTTCAAATTTTCTAAAGAGACAGATAGGTGGGCAAAAAGGCATTGAATGACTAATGAGAGATGAGAGAAGGCATTGAGATAGAGACAGTAGACAGTCTTTAGAATGTTTGCATTTTAATTTATCTATAATTAATAATATTGCAAAGCATTTATTTACACAGGTTTGTAATGTAAATAGTAGAATCCATTCAAAATAATAATAAACCACAGTTTGTTTTTACAATGCTCACCTCAAATGGCCTTTAATGCATCCTTAATAGGCCTACACTTCAGAGCTATTCATTTGCAAGAGATGTTGTGTAATTCCTTTGAGATAAAGGGTGCTTGGCTATGCAGGTCCCATGTTGTTCATCTTCTCTTCTCTTTGTCTCGTTGCTATGGCAGCACAGTCATCATCATTGATCCACCAATTGCAGATCTTGATATTTATAGATCTAAAGTGGACCCCCTTTTAACCCTTTCTCAGTTCAATGTGTAAGCCATGGTGTGAGACCATTCCCTTAAAGCGCACATCTTGGAAAGAGATATTCCAATACAATATCCCCACAGTGTTGTCTTTAGGTCTCAGTGATCAAACCAGGTGGATGGTTGGCAGAGAAATGACAAGAGTAGGCCTATGCAGGGCATGTTTCAACAGGTAATCCTATAACAAAACATGATTGTGTCCAATTGAAATATTATTACCTGGTACATAACCAGTTTATTACTGTGTTTCATTGGTTAATAGCCCATGTGTTAATGTTATTAGCCCACACTGATATGAACTTCTGCAATGGAACCTGCTAAATGGAGAGAGAAGAAAGATAATGCTCTGTTCATATTGATGTTGACCTTTCAGTCTGAGCCCCAGAGAACCCAGACATCAGTTTCATAACACAGATCATCTCCTCAGCCAGATCACCACATGTAAATTATACACCGAATCAATAGAGAGCTGCTGATCTTCAGAGCACAGTGTAGGCTACAGGGGAAGGGTGTTGAAATGTTGGTGTTATTCTCTTATTCACCATCTTTTTTTCAACCACTTACTGTCCTGGCGCTCAGTCCCAGTTACCAGGACAACAGAGGATCACTGCACAAGAGGCAGGTGAACTTTGAGACCAAACAAAAATGATCAGGGCTGGTGGAATGGAATACGATCAATACCGTGTTGTGTCCATGGGTTTCTTCCTAGAATGGCATTAAGGCTTATTTTGTGGACAGATTTTGGACTTATTTGTTTTTCTCCCTCGTCATCAAGCCTACAAAATAATTGTGATATGCGTTGTCTTCCAAGCAGATAGAAATATCTTTCCATCATTTATCTGTGGGAAGCTACAGTGAGAGCAAGGTACATTTATTAACAAGCATCCTTCATATTTCTGAGCTGCCTGCTAGCATACCTTTCACACAAGCCGCAGCTGTAGTAACCTGCCAGTTTATTTAAAACCTTCAATCATGTTTCCTGGATCTGTGATTGCTTCTTGTCTCCTGAAATGTCTCGCAGCAAAGGTGCTTGAATTCATTACAGGCATTCACGATCTTGTCAAATCAGTCATGAACAGTCTTGTCAAACCATAAATGTACACACAGTGTGTCATTCCTATATGAAAACAAGAATAAACTAGCTCACTTGCATCACTTTGGGTTTTTCAATTATTGGGTAACCTTGGGTTTTTGGACGATTGGGTAACCTTGTCTGACGAAGTAGCTTGGGTACTGTGACAACAAAACATTCAGAATATCTGTGCAAATGGACCAATAAAGCAAATATTGTGTTATATTGTAGCTTGTCTTGGTAGACATGAGCCAGACACACTATACAAATGATTGTATAGCATGGTGTAAACTGACAGTTTGAAACCCTACAGTAGCCTATGTCCTGTCCTCTAGATATTCCACAAAGCTACATTATATAAAGAGACTGTGATGATCTATGCGTCATGTGTATTTCCTGCCCAGCATGTTCCTCAATTTGAATGCATCACTAGAGATTTCCCTTTCTCTACTTTGAAGATCTGCAAGTTGCAACTGTAGCACAATGTTTTTTCACGGTGTTCTAAACTGTATATTTCCATCTACACACTGTAGATGCACTGATTACCCATGGTCTTAGTTTACCTGCATGGCTGTCATTGTTCATTGCTTTCTGAGAGGTTGAACTAATCTACCTCCTTGGTATCCTCCCGAGTGGCGCAGTGGTCTAAGGCACTGCATCGCAGTGCTAGCTGTGCCACTAGAGATCCTGGTTCGAATCCAGGCTCTGTCGTAGCCGGCCGCGACCGGGAGACCCATGGGGCGGCGCACAATTCATCCAGGGTAGGGGAGGGAATGGCTGGCAGGGATGTAGCTCAGCATGTAGAGCATGGTGTTTGCAACGCCAGGGTTGTGTGTTTGATTCCCACGGGGGGCGAGTATGAAAAAAGAATGTATGCACTCACTGTAAGTCGAGTGTCTGCTAAATGACTGTAATGTAAAAATGTTGAACTAATTGTGATTAATGAGGAGCATCTGTGGTGCCTCTTTTCAATGACAGAATCTCTGCCAGGGCCCCTGTCTCAGCTAAACAGGTGGTAATGAAGAAAAGCCACTTTTTCCTGTCCTCATTGTTGTCAGAGCAGCCCTAATCCTGATTAGCTTGTGCTTTCTTCTCTCTTCTGTCTAGATCAGCCACAAGCCCAGCACCCTCAGCTCCAGTGACATCACCAGGGTCCTGTCACACACAGACCTGAACCAGATGTGGCAGAGGGACCTCAGGCCTCTGCTAGTGACACGGTACCCCAACTCTGCAGGCAGCCTGGCAGTGCAACAGGTCGGTATCCCCATGGCTGAGGGCATGAACAATCGACTGTGTGTGGTCTACTTATAACGCCATAGGCATGATTAGACTAGTCATGTACAGTGTATGTAGGAGAGGGGATTTAGTCAGTTCTTTTTAGTCAGTTACCAGGATAAATGTTTCCCAATGTGTTTCCCAATGCTGTTGTACTATTATTAATTTTATGCCCGATAATGTTTCGTTCTCCCACTTAGTCAATTCAATGACTAGCACTCGTCGGGTTCTCTGAGGGCAGGCTGGGATGTTAAGGAGGACAGGTTTGAGTCACACACCCCTTACGGTCCCATGACCTTCAACAACATCATGCTACCCTCAACCCCTCCGCTAAGCGCCATCTGGTGCTGGCATGCCACTACGACTCCAAGTACTACCCTCCCCAGTGGCATGGGCGTGAGTTCCTGGGTGCCACGGACTCAGCGGTGCCCTGTGCCATGATGTTGGAGCTGGTACGGGCTCTGGATCAGGAGCTGAAGACTCTGAAGGTGGGGAAAGGTTTAGAATTTTCTCATGTGTCCACTTTAGTCTGTACAATCATTTATGTTTACTGAGCAATATTAGATCAGAAAAGTTTGTAAAAGCCCTCTCAAAGTTTTTACACAGCTGTAGCCAAGATCAACAAAGAATTGCAGGATGCTGAGAGATGAAAATAGATGGACATAGCAGTCACAGAGCCTCTCACATTGCTGTTTGTGTTGCCCTGCTCCATAGGTCAGCTGACCTCTGTCTGAGGGGATGGGTCCTGAGTGACAGGGGCTGCCATAGGGCTGGGCCAGGGGTCATGGTTATCTGACACTACAGACAGTGACAAAGGCCACACTTAATTAACTAACTGAATACTGATTTCTTCATAGCAGTGTTTTGTTTAAACCAATAGGTGGCAGCAAAGCTAAAAGTTCTCACCAGTTGTTCCCCAAGTACTGTTTGGAGTGACTAATAAACATCTCTTTCACTTCCTGGCCCCCACCTCTTCTCTTTCTGTCTCACTCTCTCGCTCATCCTCTACCAGAGATCCAATCCCAACCTGTCTCTCCAGCTGTTGTTCTTTGATGGAGAGGAGGCTCTGTTTCAGTGGACCTCTACAGACTCCCTGTACGGCTCCCGCCACCTGGCCCAGAAGATGGAAAACACAGCACACCCACCTGGAGCCACAGACACCAACGAACTGCATGGCATTGTATGTCAGGCATTACATGCACATATTCAAACAACTAAGCACAAATTCAACCAATTCAGCTTATGGGGAACTAATTTTCACCCAGTTGCAGTGCAGGGATGGGCCATCTTAAAGCCTATGTCCTTCATATGTTTGATTTATAAACCCATCTTTCAGCCTTGTCAAGCAACCATTAGGGAGGCTTGAGTAGTGGAATATATTTTGACATTTATCATGCCATCTACGATAACATTATGTCAAATAAATCTAAGATGTGTTATTCTGTATTCTAGCTGTATCCTAGCTATGGAGAGATAGTACTACTGTTGTTTAAACAAATAGAGCGCCATTCCTGTCAGGGAAGAGAGATAAAGGAGAGAGGCTCATAGTCCTGCAGTGAGGTATGTGTGTGTTTTAGAGATGGGCCATGCATTGGGCATGGTACTAGTGTTCAGGACCGGCACCAGAATGAGTCAGTTGGATGGGCATTTTACGTAATTTAACTATAAAAATATATTACCTTTTAATGTGGCATGAACACAACCAGTCATTATGTTTTCGTCTGACTGTCAAACAAATCACTTTAAAAAGTAGGTTACCTTCGCACGTTCGTCCAAAATAATTCCATCATCCGAACAGTGCACTGTGAACCCACCAACTTTCCTTCGATTCGCAAGTGGCTGAAGCATCCAAGTGAGCAAAACAGTTCCCTGGGTCTTACTGTATGCGGCCCATGTATCTGATGCTGTCTGGCCAAAAAGAGTTTGACATGCCAGAAACATGGGCTACACACAGATTAGTGATCGTACACAGATCTGCAGATGTTATCGCAGGTGCAGCGAAATGCTTGTGTTTCAAGCTCCATCAATACAGTAATACAAAACAATACACACATAATCCAAAAAGGAAGAAATAAATAAATATCAGAATGATACAGAGAGGGGCATTGTTTCCCTCGCTCGGATGCTTTATCTGAGATTGATGCGTCTTTCTGTCGGCGCTCATCTCGGTCAAATAAATGATGACCTGAGGGGATCTTTTGTCGTCTTTTTCATCCTCTCACCCTCCTCTTCTTCTTACGCCCACTCCTCCAGGACCTGTTTTTGCTCTTAGACTTGATTGGAGGCCCCAGCCCACGCTTTGGCAACCAGTTCCCCAACACTGCCAGGTGGCTCACCAGAATGCAGAACATTGGTGAGCTCTCTCTCTCTCTCTCTCTGCCCACAGGAGACCCCTCTCTCTGAGATCCTGCAGTTGGATCCGTCGAGGGACCTCAGCAGCCTAGCCCAGGGCAGCAACCCACACTAGCTAAGCCCTTTGCCCTATGTTGAATGTTCCCTCTCTTTTCAGAGCGTCGTTTGCACAACACGGGCCACCTGAAGGACCATCCAAACGACGTACAGTACTTCTGGCCCGGTATGCCTGTGGGTCCGGTGCAGGATGACCACATGCCATTCCTCAACAGAGGTAAACTAACACACAACACACTGGGTCTGACATAGGCTTGGCTGTGTTCAGTAGGGTACTAATGAGCTTTGTATTCTGGTTTCCTATCAGGTGTGCGCGTACTCCATCTCATCCCCACCCCCTTCCCCTCTGTGTGGCACACGTTTGATGACAATGAGCAGAACCTGGACCGCTCCACCATCGAGAACCTCAACAAGATCCTGCAGGTGTTCGTGCTGGAGTACCTCAACATGAAACCTCAAGTCCTGAACCCCCAAAACGCCCCCTAAATGTTAGGGCTTCCCTGCTTCTACTGGGGCCCCATAACACAGCTCTCTCACACACACACACACACACACACATCAATGCTCTGTCCCTAGCCTCCAGACTTCCCTAAAGGATCTCCTGTGTGTCTGCTTCCACAGTGCTCTCTCTATGTCCCCACTTCCCCTTCTCTTTCTGAGGAGCCATTCTTTGTGCTAATGTATGTGCCCCACTAGCCAGGAGGAAGAGAGAGACATGCAGATAGATTAACAAGATAAACATTGTTTACTAGCTCCATACCTTGTGGCGCATGACTTGCTATTGTGTTATTTCTGTTTTAATACTGGTACATTACTGTCTGCCTTCTATCTGATAACCCAAGCTGATAATAGACAGTACAAAGAGGCCTATTCCCCTGCATTCCAGAGGGATGGTGATCATTTCAATATTAATTGGAGGAGGGTTTGGAACAACTGTACAGAGCCTGACATCATTCCTAGAAGCCTTGTAATTCTATACGATCACACAAACATCTGATGGGGCCTCACTCTCTGTATCTGAACGTACATGGCATTACACTGTCCACTTCATATTAGCATAGAAAATCTTGCAGAGGTCAGGAGATAGTATCTATATTTGTATTGTTAATATGTGATCTTTATGTCATCCTCATCCAGGTCAGATGGAAATTTAAGGTGAAAAGCCTGCTGTGTTTTTATGACAATATTAGCCACATTTTGATGTTGATCTTGGAATAATACACACTGCCAAAACTGTACTTCCTTTTTTGAGTCTGAAATAAATGTTGATCCAAAAAATAAGAACGCCTCTCCACGTGTACTGTTTACCTTTGAAGATCTTATTTTCTGCTTTGGTCATCGCTGCCGGTAGAGTGAAACGAAAGCGGTTGACATTGTTTGTGTGACAGCAGGTCAGAGCAGTGAACATAGGTGGCCTGTGCTGTGCAGGAGGAAGCACACGCTCCTATTTAAATCCTGTTCACAAACAGGAAGAGATGACAACTCTCTGCTTTTCTCCTCAGCTCAGTCCAACTCTCAGATTAGTTGTGTGCTCCGTGTGAATCGGGCGTTCCCTATATCCCCCCTCACCGTTCCTCATCCCCACCCTTTCTCCACCTCCTCACCCCCATCTCCCCCTTCACCTCCCTCAGCCACTACCATGGAGCCGAGGGGCCTGCTCTCTCCCCAGGCCTCCTCCAGCCAACAATCCCATAATTCAGTAATCTCATCTGGACCTCCCCTGAATTTCACGCTTCCCAAATCCTCTGGGTTTACCACATTCCCTTGGGAAGGAATGTGGAGCTGCAGACTCCCCCTTTCAATGCATTCAGACATATTTATGATGACTAGCAACACTAGAGGACATATGCTGTGCCATGGGAGAGATGAAATGGTGTAATAACTGTTAAGGCCCCATTTGTCAAACACACATCACTATCTGTGACATGTTGTCATCTTAACCTAAACATCATCAAGCATAAACTCTACTTTACATTCTGAAGTGAAGTATTATCCCCTTCTCTAGATCTTAACATCGTTTTGTTATACAGTAGTTAGTTATATTATTTTTTACTTAGCAACATAATACAGTACAAAAATGTTAGTTTATGGATGCCCTACTCACCCCAGACACCTTGTATAAAGAGTTCACTCTTCTTCAGCATCTCCTGATCTTCATTATATTCCTGTGATATTACAGAACTCACTCTCCTTGGCCTCCCTGGGAGATTCGTGCCTGTGTTTTCTCACACACTAATTGTTCCCATCATGTCTCAGCAAGTTATACTCCACAACACCCCCACAATGGCTTTGTTTACCATGGGTGTGTGATGTGCACAAATATAACTGGCATGCAGTGATGTGAGTGATTACTCTCTTGATCCACCTACTTATCACAGCCCAACTTAGCCTTGTTATTGTAAATTAATTATTCCTGTTTGCGGTGGGTGGGTGGGATGGGTGGTTTTGTGGTTTGGTGGGTGGCTGGGGTGGGGTTATTCAAAGGGTTCCATACATCAGGATTATTTCTCTGGTCCCTATTTTTTCATATTTTCTTTCTCTTTGCCCCTCCCTCACTTGTTAGTGCCCTGATCAAACAGAGAACTCCCTGCCAGGTAAGTTTAAAGATAGTTACAGTCAAACAGGTCAAAACACCAGACTAGGTCTGGATAACCTCTCAAATTCCTTCAAAATCCTGTCTCTTTTGCATTGTGTATCTCCTAGTCATAGACTGGAACCATTTCATGGTATGTTGTGCAGGTGATCAGAATAGTGTGTTTAAATCTATGTGATCCAGCCCTTCTTTCATTCCCTCTAACTTGAGGGAAGAGCATTGACACGCACCCTGCTTCTCTAGTCCCTGTTGTTCAGTTTAGCGGGCATAAAGAGCAGCAAGTTCAAACAGGGAGGAGGAGAAAAAGCAGAAGTAATAGTAGAGTAGTACTAATTGTGGTTTCTAGTATTTTATTGCCCGGCAGCAAAGTAATATGTGCTCAGGTGTAATTGAAGCTGAACTGTAATTGGCTGATGATTAAAGTGTAGCTTGTACCTTCCAACTGTGCAGAGGAGAGGGTTAGTAGAAGACTCTCCCTAGCTAGATGTTTTAGAGAGAGGGAGGGGGTTGAGGCAAACAATTGGGTTTGTATCGGAAACCATCTGTTGCTTAGGCCTTATTGCCTCTCTGCTATTGGTTGCTCACTATAGCTACCTGTGGGAACAAAGACACTCATTCTGCTGTTGACTGAAAACACTGAAATACCACCCCATACTTTATTAATTACTGTATGGTACGACATTTTCACCCTATGGCAAATAGAGTGACATGAAGTTTGGGCTTTTCCATTCACAAACAGTCAGGAATTACACAATATAATACAGTTGTCTTTCTAAACTGTCACACCAAGCATAGTTTAACCTAACGTTGTCAGCTTTGGGTCTTCTTTCTGAACCTGAAATATACTGAACAAAAATATAAACGCAACATGTAAAGTGTTGGTCCCATGTTTCATGAGCTAAAATAAAATATCCCGGAAATGTTCCATACGCACAAATGTTGTGCACAAATTTGTTTACATCCCTGTTAGTGAGCATTTCTTATTTGCCAAGATAATCCATCCACTTGACAGGTGTGGCATATCCAGAAGCTGATTAAACAGCATGATCATTACACAGATGCACCTTGTGCTGGGGACAATAAAAGGCCACTCTAAAATGTGCATTTTTGTCACACAACACAATGCATCAGATGTCTCAAGTTTTGAGGGAGCATGCAATTGGCATGCTGACTGCAGGAATGTCCACCAGAGCTGTTGCCAGATAATTGAACGTTCATTTCTCTACCATAAGCCACCTCCAACGTTGTTTTAGAGAATTTGGCAGTATATTCAACCGGCCTCACAACCGCAGACCACGTGTAACCACGTGTAACCAGGACATTCACATCCAGCTTCTTCACTTGCGGGATCATCTGAGACCAGCCACCTGGACAGCTGATGAAACTATGGGTTTGCACAATCGAAGGATTTCTGCACAAACTCTCAGAAACCGTCTCAGGGAAGCTCATTTGCGTGCTCGTCGTCCTCACCAGGGTCTTGGCCTGACTGCAGGTCGGCGTTGTAACCGACTTCAGTGGGCAAATGCTCACCTTTGATGGCCACTGGCACTCTGGAGAAGTGTGCTCTTCACGGATGAATCACGGTTTCAACTGTACCGGGCAGATGTCGTCGTGTGGGCGAGCAGTTTAACGTTGTGAACAGAGTGCCCCATGGTGGAGGTGGGGTTATGGTATGCACAGGCATAAGCTACAGACAACAAACACAATTGCATTTTATTGATGGCAATTTGCCATTCATCCGCCGCCATCACCTCCTGTTTCAGCATGATAATGCACGGCCCCATGTAGCAAGGATCTGTACACAATTCCTGGAAGCTGAAAATGTCCCAGTTCTTCCATGGCCTGCATACTCACCAGACATGTCACCCATTGAGCATGTTTGGACAGCCAAGAGGAGTGGGACAACATTCCACAGGCCACAATCAACAGCCTGGTCAACTCTATACAAAGGAGATGTGTCGCGCTGCATGAAGCAAATAGTGGTCACACCAGATACTGACTCATTTTCAGATCCACACCCCTACCTTTCTTTTAATGTACACTATATATACAAAAGTATGTGGACACCCCTTCAAATTAGTGAATTCAGCTATTTTAGCCACACCCGTTGCTGACAGGTGTATAAAATCGAGCACACCGCCATGCAATCTCCATAGACATAATTGCCTTACTGAAGAGCTCAGTGACTTTCAACGTGGCACCGTCATAGGATGCCACCTTTCCAACAAGTCAGTTCGTCAAATTTCTGCCCTGCTAGAGCTGCCCCGGTCAACTGTAAGTGCTGTTATTGTGAAGTGGAAACGTCTAGGAGCAACAACGGCTCAGCCGCGAAGTGGTAGGCCACACAAGCTCACAGAACGGGACCGCCGAATGCTGAAGCAAGTAAAAATTGTCTGTCCTCGGTTGCAACACTCACTACCGAGTTCCAAACTACCTCTGGAAGCAAAGTCAGCACAATAACTATTAGTCTGGAGCTTGATGAAATGGGTTTCCATGGCAGCCGCACACAAGCCTATGATCACCAGCGTCGGCTGGAGTGGTGTAAAGCTTGCCGCCATTGGACTCTGGAGCAGAGGAAACTCGTTCTCTGGAGTGATGAATCACGCTTCACCAGCTGGCAGTCCGATGGACGAATCTGGGTTTGGCGGATGCCAGGAGAACACTACCTGCCCCAATGCATAGTGCCAACTGTAAAGTTTGGTGGAGGAGGTATAATGGTCTGGGGCTGTTTTTCATGGTTCGGGCTAGGCCCCTTACTTCCAGTGAAGGGAAATCTTAACGCTATTGTATACAATTACATTCTAGACGATTCTGTTCTTCCAACTTTGTGGCAATGACAATGCCCCTGTGTACAAAAAGAGGTCCATTGAGAAATGGTTTGTCGAGATTGGTGTGGAAGAACTTGACTGGCCTGCACAGAGCCCTGACCTCAACCCCATCGAACACCTTTGGGATGAAT